TGCTCCAGCTTGAACCTTTCCTCTAGTATTTTATATTGTCATTTCCCCAACCTCCAAGCCTTCTCCACCCTTCCACCCCCCTTTTTCCTCTGTCACCTTAAGGCTCTCTGATTTCCATTTGGTTTTCAAAATCTGATATTTGCAAAGATGGATGTCTACTTTCTTTACAAAGCCTTCTATTCCATAATCACAGTTCTATCCTTCTTTTTCCTCAGTGTGTCATGTTAAACTTAAATTATGTTTGTTTTGTTACGTGCACCTTCAGATGTAAAGGGTGAATTCTTCTAGGTCTTGGACTAAATCTAAAACTTCTGTTATATCATACACAATTAGCAGATACACATTCTTTTATTAATTCATCAAACATATTGCATGTCTACTATATTCTATTCTCTGTGCCAGACACTGGGTATATAAACTAAACACCATACAATCCTTCCCCATGAGGAAATCACAGTCTAATTTGAATCTTAAATCTATAGGAACATAATTAAAATAGAATAGAAGTAAATTTGATTTTGTGAATAGTTGATTAATTCAGCCAATCGTCAAATATAAATTAGAAAACTGCCTTTTCTATTTCCTCTTTCACAAATCTCTCTGGACAAAACTGTGTGGTTGGTAAAATAGATGAAAAATGGATATCACTAGACTTCTGAGATATCATGGGCTCCTGAGAACTCACTGAGCCAGAGTCAAAGATACCCTGTTTCCTCCCTAGCACCTTTGATCACATGGGGGAAAAAAGCCAAGTTTGTAAGAAACTGTAGCGATTATGCACAGTTGTCAGGGTTCCACAAAAAATAAACACAAGGCCATTTAAGTAGATAAAATAAGATGCAGTGCAAGGAGGGGGAGAAAGAGCTGGCTCAGAACAGAACAGTGGCCTCACAGACACTCTGAAGAAGGGAGGGACTGGAAAGGAAGCCTACAGATGTGGGCTACTGTAGGTATGGGAACTCTGGGGTGACAGTGTTTAAATTCAAGATGAAAGAAAAGAAAACACATATGCACTGTCCTTTCTACTCGTCAATCTCAGTTTTGGCCAGTAGAGCTGTGGCTTCCTGCTTATCAAGTGCTGATGTCGCGGAGGGACCAGAATGAAGTCATTGACTACTGAGTCTGATCCCCTTGGGTTCCTGTGGCCAGGGTGGCTCCTGTTCATTCGTACACTGTGAACCCGTGGCTGAGCTCTGGACGCAGAGTCTGCCAGTGAACCTGTGTCCTCACTTAGCGTTTGTCACTAACTGGCCTGTGGTACCGGTACTGGGTGAGTCCCTTGAGGTTTCTTCTTAGAAAAGTCACAATTGAGCTTGTAGTCCTTGAGAGTCTTTTCCAGCCTGGAGATTCTGTGCCACTAATCTTACACTGGAAAATCAGCTCCTCCTGGAGGTAAAACACGAAACATGGGATCAACGGACAAATGTGTGTGGGGACACCATGGCCCTTATCCAAACATGTCTGCTTTTCGGGACCTGTTCAGCTTTCCATTCTTACTTAGACAGCTAATGAAATCGGTGCCTGCTTGTCAGCAGTCTTGGAAGACTTTCATTGGGTCTTATTTTTCTACACCTACATAAGTTTGAAAGACCATCCGACAGACTTTCAGGTGTCACATAGATTGCTAAAGTATTACAGGATGAAAATGCAGGTGCTCCTCTGTTTAAAATGGGGTTACCTCCTGATAAACTTACCATAACCTGAAAATATTGTTAGGTCAAAATGCATTTAACATTCATTCATCCAACCTTCAGAACTCAAACCTGTATTAGCTTACAGTTGGGCCAAATAACCAAATGCAGTCTATTTTATCACAGCGTGGAATATCTCTTGTACATGCACAGATGGGCGTTTTGTACACACAATGGGATGTGAGAACATCAACACAATATCCCCAAATGCTGGCAACACAGCACAATGTAGAGTGTCACTGGTTTCTCATCATGATAGCATAGTGGACAGGAAGCTGCAGTTCAATCCTGCACAGCATCTTGGGAGACTACAAAAAAAGATCAAAATTCAATGTAGGTTTCTACTGAATGTATATTGCTTTAAAATTTTTTGTGGTATAGTAGGAATTGAACTCAGAGCCTCACACAGGTTATGTAAGTGTTCTACCACTGAGGCACACCCCCAACCCTTTTTAAAATATTTGTTTTTGAGACAGGGCCGCTCTAATCTTATTTGGACTGGCTTCCAACTCTAGATTCTCCTGCCTCTGCCTCCCAAGTAGCTGGGATTATAGATATACACTACCATGCCTGGTTTGCTCATTGCTTTTGTGTCAGTATAATGTTGAAAAATTGCAAGTTGAACCATCACAGGTCGAGGACTGTAATGCAAAGTTCAGAAACTCTCTCAAATTATGTAATTGGTTAGTGGCAAGTTTGCCTGCTCCTTCTCCAACATGGCCAGCTCCACTCCACCTACCCCAGTTTCCTAATTCTATCCATTGAAAGGTCCTTAAGATCTAACTACATATTTAGCACAGTACTAGAAATTGTGAAAGACACTTGTCCTCAAAGAACTTCTGATCCAATTGGACAAACTGGCCTGAAAAGTACCAATGCATTAGCTCCATGGCCCAGAGTACAGAGTCCTCCAGCCTGAAGAAAATAAAACTCATGTTTCTTAACGTTACTGCTGCAAAACCCAGTTAGTACAAATTTGGAACAAGAGCAGAATTAAGGGGGAAACCGGTTGAGTACAGCCTCTCTCCGCCATTGCAGGACAGAGGTGTGGGGGGGGAGCAGAGTAGTAAAAGGAAGGTCAAGGTGAAGTCCCAGGTTGGGTGCCTATGGTCACACCTGTAATCCTAGCTACTTGGGAGGCTGAGATGAGGAGGATCAAGGTTCGAAGTCAACCCGGGCAAACAGTTGTGGAGAACCCCATCTCCAAAATAACCAGAGGACTAGAGGTGAGGCTCTAGTGGTAGAGTGACAGCTTTGCAACCCCAGTCCCACCAGGAAAAAACAAAAAAACAGACAAAGTTCTGGATCTGTTGGAGCATGGAAATAGTAGTAGCTGTAACTATCCCTTTCACCTAAACTGGCTTTTGCCCAAACCAACTCTTCAGCTCACAAATAGTTATTTTTCCCTCAGGGGGAAATACAGGCAAGCTGATGCCAGGAGATTCGGGATTCTCTTCCTTAGTTAAAAACGAGGACAGGGTGTGCACACCATTTGTTTGCTGCTAGGTTTCTGTGTGATTTTGTTGTGGAAACGTTGCTGGATTAGCTGCTTATTTTGTTGTTTGTCATGTGCCTAGTGCTTGGGTTATGAAATGACTGACCGCTAATGACAAAGACTTGCCTTTCATTTATTTCATAGTAGCAAGAGTTTGTTTTAACCTCTCTTAATTTCTCCGTTGAACAAAGAGCATCCCAACAAGAGTAAATAAAATGATTTTGTTTTATTTATTAGCATGCATTAGTTGTACAAAGGGGCTTCACTGTGATCTTTCCATACATGTAATGTACCCTGATCAAATTTGGTGGGTGTGATTTTTTTTTAAGCTATACCTACAAATTCTTTTTTTTGGCAGTCCTGGTGTTTGAACTCAGAGCCTTATGTTTGCTAGGCAGGCCCTCTACCACCTGAGCCAGGCCCCCAGTCCAAAATGTTCTAAGAGGGAACATCAATTCAAACCCGCGCAGCACTGATATTTCTCATAGTTTTTATGTCCCTTCATATGTATTTACCTAATTACAATCATGCTGTCAATATAATTTTATGACTTGATTTTCTTCTTTAGATTACGGGGGTATCATCATTTCCATGTGTCTATAAATCTTGTGATTATTAAATAATTGCTAAATATGTCACAGGATGTATGTTCATTACCCATGGTGGCCCTTTCCCTGTTCTTAGCCACAGAGGCCTCTTACTCACATCATCTTTTAAATGGAATTGTCACAGAGCCATAGGAAATGTCTTTGAGGCTTTGTCCTTCTAGAAGATGAAATAAGTAGACCCAAGTACACTACCTGTCTACTGGATAAAAAGATGACTTCCTAAACTCCAAAAGGCCAGGTGTTGGTAGACAATAATTCTTCTGCCAATTATTAACCAAGAGTTTTATAACCAAGACGCACGACATTCCTTTTCATGATTAAAAACCCCAAGGAGAATTACTACCATACAGTAGTAACTTTTTGTCCCCTTGTGCCAGAACACCACGCAAGAGGACCACAGGGCTGCTTTGCACTAGAGAACCAAGTAGCATCCCTTGACCTTGACTACTAAGCATCTGCGGCAGGTGCAGAGGCAAATGTGGTTCTTTGGCGGAGGAAGAAGGTCTCTTGTCGGCTTTAGGGCAGCAGTGAGGGGACAGACAACTGGAATTAAGTCCACAAAGAGGCATCTCGCATCTGGCGGGAAAGGAAGAAAGAGTTGGGATGGGAGTGCTGGCAGGTGGAAAGGAGAAGGCTCCACAGAGGAGGAGGCTGGTCCCCAAAATGTCACATGGCGCAGGATGAAAGGGCAGGGAAGAGGGAGGGTCTGTAGTGCGAGCCCAGGTGGCCTCGGAGCAGTGAAGCCGGGCTGGAGTGGTTCTTTGCTCTCGGGGCAATGGGGACCCTAGCAGCTTGGACTCTAGCGAGAGGAGTGGCCTGGGGACAGAGGCAGGACTCCGAGGTGGGACTGGGCTGGGGACGGGGCCCGGAGGGCAGAGGGAGGGGCGAAGCCCGGCTGGAGGCTGGGCCCGGAGGGCAGAGGGAGGGGTGGGGGCCGGGCTGGGGGCGGGGCCTGGAGTGCAGGGGGCATGGCGGGGCCGGGCTGGGGCCGGGGCCTGGAGGGCAGAGGGCGGGGCGGGGCCGGGCTGGGGCGGGGCCCTGGAGGGCAGAGGGAGGAGTGGGGCCGGGCTGGGGGCGGGGCCTGGAGTGCAGAGGGCGGGGTGGGGCCGGGCTGGGGGTGGGGCCCGAGCTCGCCCAGCAGCCCTCCGAGCCCCGCCAGCTCCCTGAGAGTCCCGCCAGGTCCCAGTGCGGTCGCGGCGCTCTGGCCCCGCCATGCTCCTGCTCCTGGGATTGTGCTTGGGGCTGCCCCTCTATGCGGGGTCTCAGGAAGAGCCTTGGAGCTGGGGTGACACTTCGGAGCAAGTAAGTGGGCTAGTTGAGGGGAACCAGGGGGCCCAGACACTGTCGCGGTCCCCTCCCTCCACCTCCCAGGGCCGCGTGGCATCTGCACAGGGTCCCATTGACTCGTCGGATGCCGGGAAGGGAGCATCACCTCTCTGTCCTTTCACATTGGCTCTGTCCCCCAGCGCCTGCCCGGAGCTTCCCTATCTGTGGGTCACTCGTGGGTCGCCTGTGCATCCCCCGCGGTGTCTTGCTGGACGCCCGAGGTTTCCTGCAGAATTGGACCCGGGGTTTCAAAGTCCTGCAGAACCAACTTTTCTTCTTGGCTTCTGTTACCTGCTCAGATTTTTGGCAGTCTTTGTTGCTAATTTCGGACAAAACTAGTTAGGAGGTTTCGTCTTTGCTAGGTGTGTGGTGAGTAGGTTGTGTTACCGTGGCTGATCCTGGGAGAAAGGACAGCCTAGGGAAAATTCCAAACTCTGCAAGCCACAGCTTTTCCCACCTGGAAGCTAGAGAACACGACCTTACCATTCTGTTCTTTTCAAAGGGTTAGCAGTTTAAAGTTTAAAGACGACCCCAGGGTCCCACCAGCACTAAGAACCAGAGTGTCAGTTCCCTAAACTGATAGCCTGTACATTTGCGAGAGTTTGTGTTTTAATTGGCTGAACTCACAGGTGAATAAAACCTGCCATAGCAAAAATCTCAACTCAGTGTCTGATGGCTTGGAGAGTGCAGGGTCACACTGATATCTCTATAAAGGCCTTGGTCCCTGCTACAGTGGACAGTGCTGTTGAAACACACATCATTTACATGCTAAAGTGTTTAACTTAAAGCATGTTTGCTCCTGAGAGGAAGAAACATAAGTAGGTATATGTCTTCTCCCTTTGGAAGATCAGAGTTGAAAGATGGAGTCTGACTAGGTAGCAACTGTTCACTTTCATGCTGGCTTATCTGTCAAGTGGAAGTGGCCTTAATCCTCTTTAGTGGTTGTCAGGAAGAATAACCAATAAAAATGCCACAAGGTTTTCTTGGTGGTGTAGAAAAAGCATAGGCTGTGAATCCAGACACAGGCTGGTCCCCACTGACATGTACAGCTGGGTGGATCAGGTAGCCCTTTACTATCTCTTAGCTCTCCTTTCATCCTTGGCCCAAGCAGGGAATGCACTTCTGTTTGAGCATGCTTGTAAGAATTCAGCTAGCTTGTGTTAAGGACTTGGATACAGTAGGCACTCCATAAATGCAAGATGTTTTAGTAAGTGATTAGTACTGGGCTGTCTGGATTTGAGTCCTGATCTGTCACCAGCTCTGTGACTTTGGGCTGATTACTCTGCTCCTCTATTTCCTCTTCTGTAAAATGTGGAAAAATTTTACATTTTCAGAGGACTGAATAGTTAATATGACCTAAAATGCTGGCACTTAATGTCAGCTGGTGCTGTTGGCTTGTGGGGCAGAAGTACTAAGGGAAGGAATTCAGGGTAAAGATCTTTTTTGGGGGTGGAGAGAAGAGAGTGTGGGAAGGACTGAAACAAAGAACCTGTTTATGAACTAGAGGACCTTCTAAAGCTGCCTGTCCACAAGTCCAAGTCAGCACAACACTCTCCAAACTTTCTTTCTTAGATAAACACGGATTTGCCCATTTTGGTGATTTCATGCTGTCTTTAATTCACGGTAATACTTATCTTTCTAATGACTAAATCACAAAAACCCCCTCCAAGTTATAAAGTGCTATGAGAATGTTCAATTTTTGTCTTTTATCCTTACTTTATTTTTTTAAAAATTTGTATTTTTGTGTTGCAAGGTTTAATAGAGAGGCCTAGTCTGGGACCAGTGATAGAGTGCTTGGCTAGAATGCTCAAGTCCCCATGTTTGATCTCCAGCTTTGAAAAAGAAAAACAAAAAAAGGTTCAAGAGACAGGCCCTGGCACCAGACTTCCTAGGTTAAAATTCTGGCTTTGCATTCATTGGGGAGATAATATTGATGAGCCTCTGTCTTACGTATTATTTAATTGATATAATTTTTCTTTGGTGGCACTGGGATTTGAATTCAGGGCCTCACACTTGCTAGGCAAGCACTCTTACCACTTGAGCCACTCTACCAGCCCTAATTGAAAGGATTTTAAAGAGTCAAAGAATAAATATGCTTAAATCTTAGAACAGGATCTGGAGCTGGGTGTGGTGCTATATGGCTACAGCACTCAGGAGGCTAAGGCAGGTGGATAGCAAGTTCAAGGTCAGATTGGGCTACATAACAAGACCCTGTGTCAAAAGCAAACATCAAAAAGGAAAGAAATGGAACAGAGCCGGGGAATGTAATCAGAGCTCTAGTGCCAATAATTACAGATATCAAAATTAATTGTAAACTTAATTTTAAAAATGAAACAAATTTGATGCAAGTTTTAATGTAGGCGAACATGTCCGTTGACTTGCATGGCAGTTCTTACAATTCATTTGTCATTGGTCTTTAACTGGAAAAATGCTAATGACATTTTAGATTCGAGTTCCTTCCTCTACCCCCACCCTAACCCCCGCCGTATCTGTAAGTTGTACCATCCACAGTGGAGTGACAGCTAAATTAGTGGCTTCCAATCTTCCTTATGCAAAAAGTCACTTAGGATGTTTGTCAAACATCACACTCCTGGGACTCCCTCCCGTGGATGTAGATCTAATAGGTTGGGGGTGGGGCACTTGAGTCAGATGCAGATGATCCAGGGACCTAATTTTAAATAATACTACTTTAAAAGAATCAGGAAATTACTATTAAAAAGGAAGTCTCTGTTGGTGGAGTGGCTCAAGTGGTAGAGTGCCTGCCTAGCTAAGGGCAAGGCCCTGAGTTCAAACCCCTGCACTGCCAAGTTAAAAAAAAAAAATGAAGTGTCATATAAAATCAGACTGCTATCATTTACTGATTTATCTGCTGTGTAAGTTTTAAATTTATATACTTTCTTTAGTAAAGATGGGATATGTTGCTATTATTACAGAAGCAATTTTAAATTTACAAAATACAAAAGCTACCTGCCAGTTCAGTGTCCATAAAGTCCCAGAGAGTTTGCTAGGAGCCTTATTTAAAAGTAATAAGAAGTAACAAAGTAAGCAGGGTTAAAAGCACTCCAATTGGAGCAAGACTGTGTGAGTTAAATTTGGGCCCCACCACTTCTTGGCTGTCCTATTTGTGCAGATCACTTAATTTCTCTGGGTATCACTTTCATCATCTGTAAGCTAAAGTTCTTAATAGTTCTAGGTTTTGAGAGAGAAAGTTTGTGTAATTAATTTTCAGGGCCTTCTTTAAGAGAAAGAATATCATACCAAATTATGACTACAGAATTAGATGTTAAAGTGATCATTTATCTAGAATGATAATGCATAACAAATTACTTATTTTTTCAACCCAACAAGCAGCATGAATATCACTCAGTATTGGGAGTCTGTTACATGTGAGAGATCCCCAAACTTATAGTCTATTAGCATCTAAATAATAATGCAATATTAAATAATGTTTGCCTAGCATGGATGAGGCCCTGTGTTTTATCCCCAGCACTGCAAAAAATTAATTAAATAAAAATAATAAACTCATTTATTATATGCTCTTATGGTTGCTATGAGAATTAAGTGAGTTAATTCAGGCAAATTATTTACACATTCTAAACAGTTAAGCTAGTGTTAACTGTTTTTAGCATTTATGTATAGCCAGGTTAAATCTCCAAGTACCACCTCAAGGTCTCAGTGTACCTGCTTTACAAAGGACAGCCAGGGGAGGCCAGGGAGAAGTGACATATCCAACCCAGAGCCTGGATTAGAGCCCAGATTTGCTGAATGCCAAGGCGGGAGCTCTCAATGAATCCTCCAAATAGCAAGCCACTCTCATATTGATAATTTAGTTTAATTTGTTTAAGTGTGATTTTAGATTTTAGATATATTCAATTCATACTGCTTATAATTCAAACTTCTATTATGGTGATATGTTTCTTATTCCCTCCCTGAATTAGAAATTTTCTGAATTCTAAATTTCTTTTGAATTCTCATTCCTAACCATAGCATTCCATTGGAAGATAAAACAGAAAAGCAAGATAATTATTTTTTAACTCTCTAAAAAATAAAGCCAGCATAAGATTTTGCAACCTGCAGACCTCTCAATAATGCCTCCCTTATGTGCGTGCATGTGATTGCTGAAGTGGAATTCTACAACTGAATGGGAAAGGAGGCTGTTGTGGGAGAAATTCCAGAGATTTCCTCACTCCCAAAGCAGCCATATCTCATTTCTTGGGGGTGGAGGGAATGGGTGGGGGTGTCCTAAGAACTGGGTGATGAACTGTATGTGACTTCGTATTCCTAACTAGCATTTTTTTTTTTCAAAACCTTGAAGGCTCAGATTTAAAGAATTCTTGCTTAATGTGCTGTAAGAATTACAGTCAGGATGCCTCTGCATTCAAGGGACAGCAAGGCTGATTTAAGAGGATGGGGCCACTGGATGAGGTCTAAGCTTTTTATGTGGGGTGGTAAGGTGGGAGTGTGTGTGTCCTGCACCATTTTCTATTTTTCTACAAGTAAGGCCCATTTTCCCCCCTCATTTTACACTGGTAAAGAAAGCAAACAGGGTAACTTGTCTAAGGCCAGTTGATTTTTTTTTTTCCAAATCTACTTAGAAACTGTTTGGAATTTTAGCTCAAATTTGAAGCCTCTGCCATTATTGAAGTCATTGGTACCCCAAATTTCAAGTTATTAACAGCTGAGCAACTTGCAACAACACAACCCTAAAGGAAGAGCATTTTTTTTTGCAGGTAACATAGAATTGCCAATATAGGAACACCCCCAGACTCGCCGTTCTAAACTCAGGGATAAATGGCATCTCATGTGACTTTCTTACTTCTAGCCCTGGTTTTGTTCCAGGTTCTACAGGTCTTGGTTTGAGGACTCAGAAGGCCCTCAGAGGAATGGGGTTCAGCTGGTAGGTCAATTCCTCATTCTTATCCCTCAGGAATGTGCGACTTCAGTCATTTCAAAGTATCTGCTGGGGCTGGCCTCCGGCTAGCATCTTTTCGATGTGTTATGGACCTGGAGCCATGCATCCAGTGGTCAGGCTCAGAGGGAAGAATAGATGATACTCACCCACCTTTATGCTATTTATGGGACAGCCTGGGTCACTCAAGCATCTAGACCCAAAGGGAGTGTGTATGCCCTTGGATTAGGCTTTGCTTCTCGTCTACCATCTCAGTCTTTCCCAGTTTTGTGTTTCTGTAACAAATACCTGAGACTTGTGAGGAAAGAGACTTATTTTGGGTCATGGCATCAAAGGTTCCAGCCTGTGATGGGTTGGCCCCATTGCTTTCAAGCCTGTGGGAAGGTATCACATCATAGCCAAGGCTTATGGCAGAGCAAAACCACTCACTTCACGTCTGGGAAACAAAAGAGAAATAAAGGAAGAGACCAGAGTCCCCTATTCCCCTTCCAAAGCATGTCTCAATGACCCAAAGACTTCCCACTAGGACTCACCTCTTAAAGTGTCCACCATCTTCCAATAAAGTCAAGCCGGGACCATGTCTCTAACACACAGGGTATTGGATGACACTCAAGATCAAACTATAGCAGTGACTTTTGGAATATTTGAATCATGATCCAACACTGCTGGATGCTATGATTATTCAAATTATAAATATTTAAGCAGCATCTGGAATTAAAAAAATTTAGCCTGTGTTTTCACTAATGGAAATGGAGTATATGCCCTGATGGTGTTACTGCTACATGCTTGTATAAAGGAAACCTTTGCTTACCCTTTGGTTTCCTGGTAGTGAATGCTGCTTGGTCCTTAAGAATTAAAGAGGCATTACAGATCTATGGGGCTGATCATTTCTGAAAATAGTTCTTGTAGTGAGCCCAATTCTCTTTAAATTTCTTCTTCTGGCTGGATATAGTGGTGCACACTTATAATCCCAGACACTTAGGAGGTAGAAGTAGAAGGATCACAGTCTAAGTTTGGCCTGATCAAAAGAACTAGATCCTATGTGAAAAGCACACTAAAAGTAAGGTAACTGGGAGTGTGGCTCAGGAAGCACTGCTTGCCTCATAAGCACTAGGCCCTGAGTTCGATCCCCAGTACCACACATGTACACACTCATGCACACACACACACACACACACACACACCACACACACACACACACACAAAGCACATGCACAGACGCACAAAGTTTCTTCACTTTCACGCCACTCCAAACAAGCATGCACACAGCTTGTTCTAACCATACCTCCATCGAAAAGCCTTCCATGGCCACTCGAGTACAGCGTACTCAACTCTTCCATTTCCTTTATAACTTAGAACACTTACCTCTCTACTGTGCTTTCAGAGAACATTTCTCTCTCTCTCTCTCTCTCTCTCTCTCTCTCTCTCTCTCTCTCTTTTAACAAATAGATAATGTGGTTCTTGAGGATAGGATTGTGGCTTGTATTTCATAAGAAATATTGTGGCCTTGATATCTTATGTTCTGATGTTGGAGAAATAAGCACCCCTCACTGGAAGCAAACAGTCCTATCTGAGACATCTCTTAAGTCTGTCGTTCGAGGTCACGAACAAGTCACGGAAACTCTGATCTTACTGTTTACGATGGCTCTTGCCATGAAGCTGGAAGTCAGCTACTTCTCTGTCCCCAACTTCCACCTCCAGAGTCTTAAAAGACAATGGAAAAGTACTCAAACAATAAAAAGGATCAGGAATTCTCAACTACAAACAATGACAATGACATTAATGTCATTTCCACTTCCAATCCCAGCACCAGGAATCTGGGGGAAGTTTTGGTTCTGAGTGAATCTGAGTCTAAACCTGGACTGAAGTGCAGTCATAGTGGTCCCCTGAGATAGTGGATAGTCATCACAAAAATGAAAAATCAACTTCTCTTGTTCTCCTTAAAGCTCGTTTTCTTGGAAAACCTATTTTACAAAGGAGGAAACTTCAAAGAACATACTTTAGATCAAGTAGAGAACTTAATACCTGAGAGAGGCTGGGCTTTCCTTCTAAGCATAGTTATTTTACGAGGTCACCAGCCTATTCCACAGTTTGAGAACAAGAAGGGCCCCAGACGAAACGCAGAGCTGAGAAAGAACTCAGCTGGGATCCTTCTTATGACCTTCATATGCCTCACCTCGTTTTAGAAATCAGAAGCTAGCACCCTCCTGTGAATCACTGGTTTCCATGTGGAGTCAGGGTGGCTGTTAACCTAAATCCTGTACTGTTTCTCCCCATTGATGACCTATTAAACAGCAGGCTGCATAATGGCTTCTAGGATTAATTTATAATTATATGTAAATACGCACAAATATATCTAAATGGGGTCAAAATAATTTCCGTTATACTTTCAGTTTCAAAATGGAAATCTTTATTGTTTTTCTACTATGGAAGTAATACATGCTAATTCATCAAAACTGAAGAGATACAGAAAAGTATAAAATCAAATAGTCATTAGCATTGTGGTGCATGTCCTACATATAGAAACATTTATACTCACAAAATGGGTCAAAATTTACAAAAAGATAGTGTTTTATTGCATGGTAAGTTAAGCTAGACATGGTGACAAATAGCCTCCAAATGTCGATGTCTTTTTTCCATGTTTAATATTTTAATTTTTTTAATGTTGTGCTGGGGATACAATGTGACATTTTCAAAAGTTCTTACAATATATCGTAGTTGAATTCACTCCCTCCATCATTCTCCTTTATCCCCTTTCCCCATTCCTGGAATAGTTACAACAGGTCTCATTTTTCCATTTATATACATGTGTGCACAATATTTGCACCATATTCACCCTTCTACACTCTTTTCCCATATCCTCCCCCAATGTCTTAATAACAAAACTTATTTCTTGTATGTACCACCTGTCCGTCAGTCTTGGGCTGCAGTGGAGTGGTACTTGGGTTTGATGGAGCAGCTACCACTCCAAGCATTGCCGATTACTGTAGGAGAGGGAGAAGGCAGTTCTGGGGGAATCAAATGTCCATATTTAAATGTTTGGCTCAGCAGTGACAGATATTACTTAGATTCATAATTTTTGGCCAGAGCTGGTCATATAGCCCCACCTTCCTACAGGTAGTAGCCCTGGTAGAAAGTTAGAGAAAAATTTGGTGAACAGCATTAAAGTCTAGTAATGAGTGCTTTATTGATTTTTTGTTATTTATTGATGCTAGTAATACAGATCTGCATCATTGTTTTCAATAACTGTGTTGCAATTAATCAGTCTATCTTGACATATTTAGTTAACCAAATATCTTTTTAAGGATATGTTAGGCTATTCTCAATTATGAATGTGGCAAAAAATTTTCTTGCACATTTATTTATTTATTACTGACTCTTCCTCCCCCTTATGATAGCATTCCACAAGTACAGTTTTTAAATTAAGAGACATACATTAGGAGGGAATGTAAAATACTACAATCTCTCCAGAAAACAGTTTGGCAGTTTCATGAAAAGTTAAACTTAGAATGACAATATGACCTAGAAATTAAAACATATCTCCAATACAAAAGATTGCTTGTGATTCAGTGCTAATTTAAGTTCTGAATTATTTATAATACCTAAAAGGTAAAATAACCCAACTATCCATCAACTAATGAACAAGTAAATAAAATGTAGTATTTTCACATAATGGAATATTATTCAGACATAAAAAGGAATGAATCACTATAGTGTGGGTGAACCTTGAAAACATTATGCTAGTGAAGAATGCCAAACAGGAAAGTCTACGTATTGTATGATTCCATTTATAGGAAAGGACCAGAATGGGCAAATCATACAGACAAAGTAGATTGGTGGTGGCCAAGGGGGGTCAAGGGGAGACTGAGAAGCAGTGGGTAAACAGTACGGGGTTTCTCGATAGAATAACAAAAAATGCTTTGACTGACTGTGGTGATGGTTGCACAATTCTGTGTACATAGTAAGAAGAATTTACTTGCATACAAAATGAGTGAATTTTATTAGATTTAAAGTATACCTCATAAAGCTATTTAAAATATGCAGAAAGTCTGGGCATATTTTTCAAGTTTTTGATCTACATTGTTCAGTTGCCAGAAATGAAAATTTATGACTCACAGCAAAAACCATTTATACCTCTATTTTTAAAGTAGAGATCTATCATGATTAATGCTCAACAACTAGTTAAAACTTTTAAATCATCCAGAGGGGCTGTGATTTTTTTTCTGGTGCTGGAGATTGAGCCCAGAGCCTCATATATGCTAGGCAAGGTGCTCTGCCACTGAGCTACACCTCCAGCCCCAAAAGTCATTTCGAATTTTACTATTGGAAGATGCGTTTTGTCTCATAGTGCCCAGTTGAAAAGTAATCTTTATCTTTTTCTTGGTACTGGGGTTTGCTAAGCAGGCACTCTACCATTTGAGCCATGTCTCCAGTCTTAATTTTTTTTTACAACTTTTTTATAATCACCTTTCCATGTTTCTGTCTTGTATATAGGAAACTCTGATGAAAAGTCAAAGCTGAGTGGATATTCCTTTTGGTGAATTTGAGTGGGCTTCAGTCCCTTCAGAACTTACGGAAGAAGTCCTCACAATCCTGATTCCTGTCTCTTCTCTTTTTGTAGGTTGGACTCAGGGTCCCCAGGCAACTCAGGCTGTTGCAAAGGCTGGTATGTATATCCACGATTCATCTCAAGTCAGTTCCTCCCTATTCTTGTTTTGCACACAAGCTCTCCAATGTTTATGAAGGTGAAGTTGCTTAAAGAAGATTTTTAACACGAAGCAGCATAGCTGATGCTTTTATATGTTTCTTTCTCTTTGGAAAGAGATGATTATTTCAGTAGAATTATAAGGACCAAATATGGAGTTTCAAAGACCTTTAAAAAAAAGCCCTCTAAATATAACCTTTATTTATTTATCTTAGAACATCTTTATCCAGGAAATAGGCTTTTAACAACTAAGGCAACCACAGAGTTCACTTTTGTAGGCAAAAGCATCACGTGATGAGTGTTGGGTGGGCTCTCAATGCATGTTGGAGGCTGCATTAGTCAGACTTTTTATCACTGTGATAAAATGCTTGACATAAATGACTTAAGGGAGGAAGATTTTTTAGTTCAGAGTTGCAAAGGTTTCAGTCCTTCATGGTGGGGAGGGTGTGGTGCAGCAGATCCACTCACAACATAGCAGTCAGGAAGCAGACAGAGAACGTCGGTGCCTCTGAGCTTTCTCCTTTTAGTCCATCTGAGCCCTCAGCCGATAGGATAGGTGCCCCCCATATTTGGGGTGGGTCTTCCTCCTTTGCTAAATCCTCTCTGGAAACTCCTCACAAACACGCCCAGAGGAATGCTTGATCTCAGTCAAGATTAATCACAGATTGGTACTTGGGGAAATGTTCAGAAATCCCAAAAGCTTATTTGAAACTGTATCAGTTCTTCCTTTGACTGTATAGGCAGTGAAATACCAAAATGTGGGGACATGCCTCTAGGCTCTGCTGAGGCATTTATCCAAGCCTTCCCTATCTCTGGCTAGTATTTTAATCAATTCAGATTTCTCCTCATCAATGTTACAGTCATTCCCATCTTTGTCTGGATGGAGGCTTCGTGTTTATTCCATTTTTTGTTTGTCCTCTTCTTCCCTCTCCCTTCCCCTAGTCCTCTCAATCCTGTCTCACCAAGACCCCAAATTTGTTAGCCTAGTATTCATTCTTTTATGTTTTTCTCCATGTTCACATAATCATAGATAAGCATATTTGTACGTAATAAACATGTCAAAACTGTGAAGCATATGAGATTTTGCTCATAATAGGTTTGCTACCATGTCATGGATGCTGGCAGAAATCAAGAGACTTCCAAGTCAGAGACAAAGGATAATTTATTACTCACAGTAATAAAAGTAGCTAGAGTGTAGCATTTGGGCCATTCTTTGACCTGAATTCCCATATGGTGACACAGAGAGGGCCATGTGACATGATACCTGCACATACAGTTGGTTGCATTACAGAAGAGCAACCTTAAATTTAGACAGTCTGACTCTTATGCAGTACTGGGGTTTGAACTCAGAGCCTACACCTTGAGCCACTCCACCAGCCTTTTTTTTGTGGTGGATTTTTGCAAGACAGGGTCTCAAGAACTCTGCCCAGGCTGGCTTTGAACCATGGTCCTCCTGATCTCTGTCTCCTGAGTAGCTAGAATTACAAGCATGAGCTACCTGTGCCCAGGAACTGATTCTTTAACAGTGAACACTAAACCTGCCTGATCTTTACCCATGGAGGAAAAAATTCTCTTTATTATTCTAAATATTAAGTCAAGTTGTCCATTGCTGTGGAAGGAGACACCACCTGTTTTCCAAGGCTGTTCAAAGTATAAACATCTTAAAAAGATGGTTCAGAACGAAGGCAGCTCATGCTTCTGCTTGCAAAATGTGAGAAATACCAGAAATGGTGAAGAATAGTCTCCAGCAATAAACATATACATATAGTCATTCATTCATTCATTCATTTGACAAATATTTGGGAGCCTACCAATTGCTCAGCACTGATCTAGGCACTGGGATACATCAATAACAAAACAGACAAAATAGCCCATCTTTCACAGAGTTTGAGTTCTAAAGTGGGTAGAGGTAGAAAAAAAGGCAAGCTAAATAAATATTTAGTATATTAGTAATTGGGAAGGTGACAGGTGCCCTTGAGCACACACCACTGCACACGAGTTTTCTCATCATTGCTCTAGACCCTTCAGTGACGGTTGTTGACTGAGAAATCGCTACATGCCAGGTGTTGTTCTATTCCTAAACAATTCTTTACAGCATTTTGCAGATGAAAAAACTGAGGTTCAGAGAGATTGAGATCACAGTTGCTCAGCCAAGACTGAGTCTCAATAATCGGACACTTCAGAGTCCACCTTTTTTTTCAGTGGGTTGAGGATTGAACTCAGGTCCTTGCACCATCTGAGCCATGCCCCTAGTCTAGTCCTTTGCCTTTAGTTTGTTTTTCAGATAGGGTCTCACACATTTGCCCAGGCCTGCTTCAGACTATGATTCTCCTACCACTGTCTGCCGAGTAGCTGTGATGAAGGTGTGTATCATCTTGCCCAGCTTGAGTTCACACATTTTGTTTTCGTTGCACTGGAATCTAAACTCAGGGCTTTGTGCTTCATATGCAGCCACTCCACTGCTTGAGCCACCGCCTCTGGTCCTTTTTGGTCTAGTTATTTTGGAGCAAGGATCTCCTTTTTTTGCCCAGGCTGGCCTGAATTGTAATCCTATTTTTGCCCAGGTCAGCCTGGACCACAGTCCTCCCATTTTAGTCTTCCACCATAGCTGGCATGACAAGGGCACCCCACTACACCTAGCTTTTTTCCCTTGAGATAGAGCCTTGCAAACTTTTTTTGCCTGGGCTGGCCTGGAACTGAGATCCTCCCGATCTCAGCCTCCTGTGTAGCTTGGGGTGACAGGTATGCTCTACTGTACCTAGCTATTGAGATGGGTGTTTCCTAAACTTTTTGCTGGGGCAGTCCTTACAGCATGATCCTCCAGATTTCAGCCTCTCAAGTAACTAGGATTACAGGTGTCCAACTCTGAGTCCATGCTCTTAACTCTGAATTTAATCAGGAGTGTTGATTCAATGTGCATATATATTTTTCATTTAGATGGTATCAGACTACATTTCAAATACTATTACTCTTAATACTACCTGAATCAATTCCATTTTTATTAGAAATACACCAAACTTCCCTCTCAGTTATGCATATTTTTCCTTATTATTTTTACCCAAAAATACTTTATCTGGTTAGCTCCATCCATTTTTAAATGTTGAATAAAATTCCATGCTGTTGACAGACTATATAATTTATTAGGCATTCTGCTGTTGGTGAACTGTCAATTTGTTTCCAATTTTTTGCCCCTACTGCTACAACCCCCTTTTTTGTGTATTCTATTATTCACATACCTTTAATTCTGTCTTAGGTTTTTTTTTAATTAGGAGTGCTGATTCAAAGTGCATGTATGTTTTTAATTTTGATAGATGTCAGATTATTTTTTGAATACTTTTAGTATTATCTGTATTAATTCCATTTCTGTCAGCAGTGACGAATATTTAAGGCAATTCTACCATCAGTCAATAAAATTACTCTTCTTGATTTACCAGCCTCTGAGATATAAAGTGATATCTCATTGTTCCTTTAACTTACATTTCCCTAAGGATATGTAGATTTAGATCTTTCAAAATAGATTTGTTAGCTAGTCAGCATAGTTCTTCTCTGAATCACTTCTTTCAGATCCTCTGCCTATTTTTTTTATCCCCATAATTGCCAATGTGTCAGAGATCTTTATGCTGTAGACACCTTGGGTCTTCTGACTGGAAAGATTTCCCCATTAATCTGTCATTTGTCTATGAAATCTGCTTGTGATATATTTGCCATGTAAAAGGCTTTTGTTTGTTTGTTCCTTTTTTTTTTTTGTGGTACTGGGCATTGAATGCAGGGCTGTGAACATGCTAGGCAAGTGTTCTTCTACTGAGCTCCACCCCCCAACTGCCGTATGAAAGTTTTAATGTCCTAAGTATAAATAAGTTTATTTTTTCTTTTATAGCCTTTAAGTTTTTGTTCTTGGTTGCAAAGATGTTCTTGATGCTTGGCTCAGCCTTTCATATAATCTCTTAGATTCTCTTTAAAACTGTTCAGAATTTTCAGTCTTATTTTTACATGGATTATAATTTTTAATGTGAACTTTACCCATCCAACTGGTACCAGAACGATGTTTTCAGCAGTAGGCCTGGCACATTACACTCTTGTGCGAATGTCCTCTATGACTCCATATCACTTGTAAGGATAAACTCCAAGGACCCAGAAGACTGTGTGTGCTCACTCCTGCCTGCATCTGGAGCCTCGGTCACTCTCTGGGGCCCTTCATACTCTGTCCTCTAAGCCTTCCCATCCTAATTGAAGCTCTTAGAATGTTCTGCACTTAAGTTCATGAGCAGAATGTGGACAGCACAGCTGGTGCTCTTCCCTCATTGCAAGGACTACAGGGATTTGCTTGATTTTATTCTGAATTAATTAGGTAGCCTTTTTATGTAGCTCTCTGCCCCTCCTACACATGGATTATTTACAGTTTTGAAAGGCAGAGTATCTGAGTTCCCATGGTGCTCAACAGATATGGGCTGAGTTTTCCTAAAACGATTCACTGCTGTCGTTTATCTTCCTGACAGGAGGGGCCCTGTCTTGTTGGCTTCTTCATAGCAAGTATATTCTAAAATCTGTATCCTGGATGTGTTTGATTCAGGACAGTAAAACATGCAGACACAGAAACTATTGTCATGAAGGAAAAAGTTTGCACTCACAGATTCCTAGTAACGAGCCCAGCACACACACAGAGCCACACGGGGTGGCACTAGGATATCAGGTGGCAGATGGCGGAGCATGCATGGTCCAAAGTGTCTCTTAGGTTTTCAGGGGAAGGAACAGGCAAGGCAGGGTTGGACAGTGAGTAATTCTGCCAGGCCCTGCTCTTGCACTTGTCCGAGTTTTGTCTGGAACCTGGCAGTGGGGTGATATAGGAAAGCAACAGAAATGGCTTGCTGTGTGAGTTTGATAGAAGAGGTGGTCGGGTGTGGCCTTGGGTTGTTTGGATTGTGTCACATATGTGCTGCCAGGTGATTGTCCAGTTGTCTGCT